ACTGTTGTTGTTGTAATTATTATTATTATACAAGCCAACATTCAAGGACCCAACAGGCCCACTTACACATACATCACCCAAACCAGGCCCAAATAAAAACCCTAAGCCCAAACCCTAGCTGCTAAGCCTACTGCCACCACCGACCTAGCCCTTATCATACCACTACTGCCGCTGTCAACCTTCAATAGTCGCTACCTCCACCGCCGCCAAAGCCAGTCATCATCGCCTCTGTTACAGAGCAAGAAACCAAATCAATAAAAAAATTCTAATAAAAAATGAAATTAAATCCACCTAGCCATCAATGTTCCCCTATAATTATAGCCTCACCATCATCATAAAAGACATATCCAAAGAAGAGAGGGAGGGGAGGAGTTCGATCAAAAAAATAGAGAAGAAACTGAGAGATATAATCGAAAAGGAGAGAAAAGACAAGGAAGAAAGCTTACCTCGATTCATCATTTTCCGGAAGATAAAGGGGACATCGAAATGAGGAAATTCGAAGCTTCATCTCCATATTCGTGTTGATTTAGCTAATTTGAAACAAAATAGAACCTGGACCCTTAACCACGACGAGGAGACACTTCGAACAGTTTCCTTTTCAACGACGGGCATTGGTTTTCGTTGGTCAACGACGGTCGTCATGAGAGACTTTTTCGAATTCTGGAGGGCACACAGATCAGGCAAGGCTTTAATAGAACTCTAAAAAAATTTGATGGTTGGGGAAACAAATGGTTTAGGGTTTTTGACCTATAAAGATATATATATATTAGCATCAAAACGGAGTCGTTTTGGCCCCCTTTACCCACACGTGTGGATCTTTAAGGGGATAATTCCTCCCGCGTTCACTACAGGTTCTGCTTTGTTTCATTTTGGCCTATATACCTTGCTCTCTTTACGTTTTTGTCCTTAATTATATATGAAGCCTAGTTTTGTTCTTTGTAATTTGGCCCTTAAATGTTTAATGCATGCAATCTTTCCCTCAAATCGATTTTCTTTGATTTTTTGATTTGGTTTCTTAATTTTATTTCTTGTTCATTTTAATCCTAATGGCCTTTTTTCTCATTTTATGTGGCTTTACGCATTTAGCTTGCAACTTTATATATTTATGTCCTTTCGATTGTAGCTAGATATTTAATATGTCCCCTGTTTTGGTCACCAAAAGCATGGATTGAATTCGTGTTTAGCCTCTTAATTCTGTTTTGTTTTTGATTTGATACTTCATGTTCATCCATATTTTTATTGTTTAATACTTTGTTTCGATAATGTTTACTTTAACCTTTTAAGACATGATATATTTAAGTCTATGTTTGCTTATTGGAAATGGAAACTTTTAATATTTATTTTAAGGTATCGTATTTGGTTCTAATTTTTCTTTCTTTAAGGTCTGGTTTTCCTTAATTTTGGTTGTGAATTTAATGTCGCATCCATCTAAATTACCATATTATATATATATATATATATATATATATACACACACGTTATAATTCCATGTTATGTATATATTTTTTTCTTTTTTTCGAAAATTGTGTTCTTTACATTAAATATCATATATGTTCTTACTAGTGAAATAGGGAGTGTATGTTTCTTGTAATTTTTTTAGGATTTAATATATATATATAAACGTCATTTTAATATTTTAATCTGGTTTTCCTTAATTTTGGTTGTGAATTTAATGCCGCATCCATCTAAATTACCATATATATATATATATATATATATATATATATACACACACACGTTATAATTCCATGTTATGTATATATTTTTTTCTTTTTTTTCGAAAATTGTGTTCTTTACATTAAATATCATATATGTTCTTACTAGTGAAATAGGGAGTGTATGTTTCTTGTAATTTTTTTAGGATTTAATATATATATATAAACGTCATTTTAATATTTTAATCTTTATAAAATTTTCAATTTATTCGACTAACCTATCGAAAACCTCCAAAAATTTGGGGTACTCTGAGGTGGCGTTTGGTTGGCATGAATCCCTTGGAATTAGGGGGAATTGGAATCCAATTCCACCACTTTCCCATGTTTGGTTCAAGTTTTCCAAGAGAATTGGAATCCCTCATTACTTCAACTTTCCATCAAATGAGGGAAATTGAATTTCATCCATTCTATGATGAAATTCAATTCCCTTGTTGGAAGGAATTGAAATTTGATCATATTACCCTCATCAATCTTTTGGTAACTTATTCATATATTGAATAAAATATTTTTTTATTATTTCGGGTCGGGTCGGGTGAAACTTTATTTTGGTCGGGATAGTTTTTTTAAGTGTGATATTCGGGTAGGGTCGAGTTCGTGTTTAGGGTGAAAAATACTCGACCCGAAAATATATATAATTTTACCTTATATATTTATGAATAATTACAATAATACCCCTCTATATATAATTTTTTTTCAATTAAGTCACTGTTTTTATTGAAAAAAAATAATTTTTTTATTATTTCGGGTCGGGTCAGATTTCTAATTCATATATTCGGGTCGGGTCGGGTGAAACTTTATTTTAGTTGGGTCGGGTTGGTTTTTTTTAAGTGTGATATCCGGGTCGGGTCGGGTTCGGGTTTAGGGTGAAAATACCCGACCCGACCCAAAAATATATAATTTTACCTTATATATTTAGGAATAATTACAATAATACCCCTCTATATATATATATATATATATATATATATATTTCCAATTAAGTCACTGTTTTTATTGAATAAAAATATTTTTTTATTATTTCGGGGCGGGTCGGGTGAAACTTTATTTTGGTCGGGTCGGGTCTCGAATAGAGGTTCCCTTGTTCTCGGGTCGGGTGGACCAAAAACCTGACTCATGACCATCCCTAATTGGGATAATTTTAACTTATGATGTTTATTAGCATGCTTTTTATAATTTATTGAAATGAATAATCAACCAATAAAATTAAAATTTAATTTTTTTAAATTTTTATAATATATTGCTACATGTAAATTATAAAACAAACTAGAATTAAGCAAAAAATAAGAAGGGCAATCCTGTCATTTTACATTACTAAAATCAAATCCATCTGACATGTCTGCGAACCAAACAGAATATGGAATTGGATTCCAATTCAATTTCCTGCCAACCAAACATAATATGGAATTCCTTCACAGATTCCAATTCCCTCATAAACATTCCAGCGAACCAAACGCCACCTGAGGGTCATTCAAATAGATTTTTTTTTTTCATTTTTATTTGTTTATTATTAAGTTAATTAGATACATATTATTCATTTTAAGTAAAATATTTTTAAACTAAAAATGTATTTTTGATTGGACATGTCATTTTTTTGCATAGTTATTTTAATAAATAAATATTCATTTTTATATATTTCATGTATTTATTTATCATTGCTTAATTATCTTATTTATTTATCCATTGCTTAATTATCTTATTTATTTATCCTTGTTTAATTTTTATTTCATGTTGATATTTCACTCATCCTGGACATGCCATTTAATATTGCTACATTCATAAATCATTCATTTATCTTCTTGTCTTTAAATATTCAAAGGCAATGTCGTATGGTTTCGTGGATTAACAAAATTACGTCTAATATAATTAGATTTCAATTCGTTAATTCTCGTAATATGAGGACATCATTTTTAAATAAAACTGAGTGAATTAAATTATTTTTATCAAGTCAAATATTTAAAAAAAACGATTCACTCATTTAAATAAAACAATCATAGAAATAAAATGATTTTAATTTAAATTTTGAATTCGAATTTGTAAAATTCCAATACTTAGACAAGGTATAATCGAGAGGTACCAATTTTGAGCATTGTGGGTTGTTAATCATTCCTCATGCATAATTGACTCTCGAATCCTACAAAATGAATTTATAGTGATAGGCAGACCAATTTTGTCTTTAAAATGATTTTCCTTAAAATTGTTTTAAAAGATACTTTTAGGTATTCGACCTACATGATCCAAAGGTCAATAGTGACTTCAAAATTTTAAATTTAATCCAAAATTCAAATTTTCCAAAATAAAGTCATAATTATTTTTAAATTAGTTTATTTATAAAAAATGGTTAAGACAATATATATGTATTGTATATAATTAGAGAAAACTCATTTAAATTAAAATCAAATAATATCATAATATTATAAATATTTATAATAAAATTTAAACAAAATCTTAAAAATTCAACCCGAACTGAATCAAATTTTATAAACTCGACTCAACTCGAAAAAAAATCATGTCAACTTCGAGTTATAAAATAAGACTCGCCAACTCTAATAGCTCAAAATTTTTTAACTCGACTCGATCGAATACTCATCTATGTTAAATATAACATTCTAAACATTTATTTATTAAATAATAAACATAAAGTTAATACATGTGCGTCTTCTTCGTCTAATTCAGTTCATGCTCGTTCTCATACCGGTGTGCACAGCGTTCTCCTACTTGTGTACACACCGCATACGTTTTTTTAGACAAAATTCACATACCTGTTTTCATATTTTTATTACTCTTTTTCTTTCATTTACTTATCGAGATCACCAAAAGACGACTCTTACATGACATATGTGAGAATAGGTACGTCATGATCCGTACATAAGAAGCATATCATGTCAATTTCAAAATACCCAAAACTAGCTTATTCTAATATGTTCAATCCCCATAATGGCTTCAAACCATTTATCCCATTGCTTGTACTATCACTCAATATAAATGACTGTCTTTTTTTCCCATATATAAGAGATAAGGGAGAGGTAAGATAGTAAGTTACCCCCAACACCAGATTGAGAACAGCTTCCGTAAGAAACCTCCGAATTATGAAATGCCCTCCGTAGGACTCGATCCCACGACCTCAAGGTTAAGAACCTTGTGCTCTACCAACTGAACTGAATGGTCATTTTTACTATCACTCAATAGGACTCGCCAATTTTTCTTTAACTTACTAAACCTACCATTCAACAACAATCTTTCCGCAGATTTACGGTACATTTCACTCTAACAGCATCGAGAAAGATTGACAAAAGATCCTGTTATTACTCGAAAGATTTAATGTCCACCAAAATACGAATGGGCGAATAAAACAGCATAATGAGTCCAGAAGAAGAGAGCGATAAAGAAAAACAAACTTTTCAGCAGGTTTGTGCAAACCACATATCAAAGAGCATGCCTACACAAATGAAGAACTAAGGGAAGTAGACAGGCCAATTGTAGTAGTAGGAGTCCCTAAAATCCTTGTCCTTCTCATTCCACTGAAAAGACAACAAAAAGTTTTAATGAGAACGTTTGTCGATTTCATAAAAGGCGTCTAGAATGATCATGCATGCTAACTTTTAAGAAAGTTCGTCCATAAACAATAACAGATAATGAACCTTGAATTTGTATGGTTGATTCTTTGCCTTTGCTTTCTTCCAATGGTAGTGTTCGAATATCATTGTTCTGTCATGCCAACTGCAAATCGACATATCCCGAATTATTAAGTAAAAAGAAAACCGTGGGCGCAGAATATCGAGGATGAGGAAGGTATAAATGAATGCTAGATTAGTATAAAGCAGAATCTGGCACCTATGAATAAAATAAATAGCAGAACACAGCGGAAGTGGCTTAGATGCATATTTTAACCTACTTGTTTCTGTAAGTAGATTAACATCAAGTATTCATGTTGGCTTGGAGCAACAACAATATAAGCAAGTAACTTAACAAAAACCGAATCATTTGCATCCATATAAGGATACTTGATGAAACGGGTCTGGACTCCGGTAAAGCTACATCATAAACAGATTAAATGTGTCTTGCACTGCGCAGAAGTGAACCGAAGTTACTGAGAAAAGTATGTGAAGCAAAGGAGGAGATGAATTCCAGCATTCCAGAATGATCTTTCTGAAAAAACCATCGATAAACAAAATTGTCTAGCTCAATTTGGTTAGAAAATGTGCTATAAACTCAGGAAGAAGAACAATTTGCACAAAGGCAAACTTGCTATAAAGATGCTGCCAACAAAGCAATAGAAGTCTTCAACAACCAGAAGCTGTTCGTTTTGAAACCTGCTCAAAAACTGGGAAGTTGAAATACCAAAACTCAAAAGGGAAGAAATGCCACAAAGTAAGCCCCGGACCCCAAAAATTACTATATATTTTAGATATTTTCTTCGTACTTACTATTGATAATATGTATTCCCATGCTAAGATTTTAAAAATTCGCCACTTAACATATAATTTTGTCTCTGTCACTGACTGCAGCGTGCCCATCCCAATCAAACAACAACATAAGATGAATGAAACAACGAATTATACATGTCTTGAACCGTCAATAAATACACTCAAGATAACACGGAAATTAAAACAAAAAGGTAAAAGATAAGTCCCAAATTGCTAAAAGCTAATGAATTTGAACTTTATTTCATTAACTTCAAAAGGCAACTTAATTCATATAAACCCTAAATGCAAGGCAATGGTTCCATCAAACACAAAAAATAAACACTTGCAGATGAAATTTAAAACAAACATCAAAACTAGCAAAAGATACGAAACGAAAGAGCTTAAAGAGAGAAAAGGGTTGAACCAAAATTACTTGAATTGGTTTGAGAGCTGCCACATGTAGGGGTTGAACCAAGTGAGTACAGAGAAAGCAGCCGACCCTATCCATATATTCACGAACCGGTCCGCAGTAGCATGGGGCACTCCAGGGTCACCTCTATACGCGTTCCCAAAGTACTTCTCCATTTCCAAAGCTTCACTTTTTTCTTCACCTCTCTCACAACCACAAGCCAAGCTCTTATCTTTTCTAGGGTGAAAAAAAAATCAGTTTTTTAATATAGCAATACAGTTTTGGGCCAGCCTTCTAGGCCCAAAAGAAAAGCACTTTTTAGGGTTTTTCTTTTCAAATTCTTAAAATCCCCCTCCATTTTCGTTGACCCTTTTTGGATGCACTTAATAGCTCTAGGAAAGTTAAAAGTATTTCCTTGGGTTTTGTTTCTAGTTGGCTATGCTTTATTTGACGCTGTTTCTTTGTTTCAGCTGAAGTTATTCCTTTTTACAGTTTATTTGAATATAATGGATGATTGATAAGCCTCTAAATCCTGTTCTTCCTCCACAATTTTGATTTTTGTAGAAGTAGAAGCTTAGACCTTGTGTGGGGTTTCTTGGAATTAGCTGCAATTTTTGTTTTATTGTTTCGGAGAAAATATAGAAAAAAAATATAGGTGTGTATAGTTCTTGGGTTCTTTCTTCATAAGTTACAAGTTCTTTTTCCAATTAACAGGATAATGGGATGAAAATGAAGTCTAAAAATTGATGTGAGTTTTTTTTTTTTTTTTTTGAAAATAGTATGGTATTCATTAAATAGCCAAGGCATCAAGAAGTCCAAGGTTTTTGATATGTTCAGATTCGTTGTAATAAATCGAAACGGATTAGGCCTTAATAATGCCCAATACTCAAGTGAATGAACAACCCTATTTGCCGCTAGCTTGGTGTAAGACCTTGAAGTTCGAGTGATGCGAAAGAGACTCATGGACCTCGTTCAATAACAGTCCTATGATAGAGATATCTTCTTGACGATTGTACAGCAATTAATAATGGAAACTGCATCTCCCTCAGAGGTTACATGATTCTATTGGTTTTCAGCGGCCAAACGAAAGCCTTGAATGAAAGCCATGGCTTCCGTTGATTCGGGCGTTTGTGGGGACTAGTTTTCTTACCACACGGCCTACCACCATCCCATGGTGACCGCGAGCTACCACGTCAATTGCCGCTTCCCCCGTACTCTGAATAAATGCACCGTCCACAGTGATTTTGATGTTCCCATATGTAGGTAGCTTCTAATAAGCTTTTGATGGATCATGAGAAGGGAGGGGGTTGCCTTGAATCGCTGTCGCCTCGTTAAACTCCGACACAATGGTCCAAGCTGCGTTAATCACCTCCTGGTCAGATTGCATCTCCTTGTCATGCACCCATTTATTCCTCATGTTCCAAACATTCCAGAGTAAGATCAGCATTAGAGATAAGCCATTAGAATCTAGAATAGTTGACGCCCGTTCCAGCCACAGCTTGCATGATGTGCTCTGTCACAAATGATTCCAGTATTCAGACCGGAGAGGGAGAGGGTGGATGGCTTTCTTTTAGAGCATGGAGCAAGGACTCCTTTTCTTTCAAGCACAGGGGACACCATCCATCACCCATTCCAGCATTCACCATCTTTTCCCCGGTTGGTAGCTTGTTCTGGCATATTTGCCAGCCGAAGATATGGATTTTAGGCAGCGTGAGGAGTTTCACCAAGGTCCTCCAAATCCTCGATGTGTCTTGTTCCATTCCAGCCCGCATAAGAAGCTAGTTATATCCCAATGTGAGGTTTTGAACATGAGCCATGTGGGTGTGAAGGACACAATAGATACTAGAGAGTGTGAAAACCAGCAGCATGTCGTTGGGAAGACTGACAACTGATGGAATTAGCTGGTAGGAAAGAATGCAATCTATTTGACGTAACTCGAGCTTTAGATGAGTTGGGAGCTTCACATGGATTTCCCAGTGCTTCCGAGATTGGGAATTGTCTTGTAGGCTCTGGCACAGTTAGGGAAATAATTCAGTTTGTGGATTCAAAAGAGGAAATCCCATTTGCTCAGCCAGTCCGAAGTTTCCAATTGTTAGAGATAGGAAGTTGATTCGAAGTTTTGAGCATATGAATGAGAACCCACCTAGCAAGCATATCCCAACTTGGTTGCCGGCTTTCCCTGATCCTCACACTTAGGTGGCGTTTGGTTCGCATGAATCTCTTGAAATTAGGAGGAATTAGAATTCCACCATTTTCCCATATTTGGTTCAAATTTTTCAAAGTAATTGGAATCCCTCATGCTTCAACTTTTCATCAAATGAGGGAAAGTGAATTACATCCATTCTATGATGGAATTCAATTCCCTTGTTGGAGGGAATTGAAATTTGACTATACTACCCTCATCAATCTTTTGGTAACTTATTTTATATATTGAATAAAAATATTTTTTTATTGAATAAAAATATTTTTTTATTATTTCGGGTCGGGTCGAGTTTCTAATTCATATATTCGGGTCGGGTCGTGTCGTGTGAAACTTTATTTTGATCGGATCGGGTCGGTTTTTTTAAGTGTGATATTCGGGTCGAGTTCGGGTTTAGGGTGAAAAATACCCAACCCGAAAATATATATAATTTTATCTCATATATTTAGGAATAATTACAGTAATACTCCTCTATATATAATTTTTTTTCAATTAAGTCACTATTTTTATTGAATAAAAATAAATTTTTTTATTATTTCGGGTCGAGTCTGTCGCAACCGTCTTTCGGTTGGGCCCCGGAATTGGGCTTCGACTTGAAAAATGTGGATTGGAGTCGCCACCGATCATTTATTTAAAACAAATGGGTTGATCGGATACCCTATTTCTTACCTGATCTGCGTCTTTCCAAAGATGTGTCGGGTTCGGGAGTCGGTTACGGTCAATGAAGGATTAGTACCCTTGAACCGTCCATTCGGTATTACGTAATTTCCAGTTGTCTTTGATTAAGAAAATTGCAAGTTAAATTAAAAGGTAAAATTTGATCCGAATTACTTACCCTTAATGAGTTTACGAAAATACCTTTAAAAAATAAGATTTTAAAAGAAAATAATAATAATAAAAGAAAGTAACAAAACTAAAGAGTAAACCAAGGAAATAAATAAAACCAATAATAATAAACATAAAATAATTGGATGAAAAAAAATGAAATTGAATAAAATAAAATAAATGAAGATAAAATATATATAAAAAAGAATAAAAAATGTAAAGTGATTTTTTTAAAAAGAAATATAATAATAAGAGCAAAGAAACTAAAAATATAATGAAAATAAATAAATAGTATAAATAAAATAATAAAAAATATATATATATAAAAATATAAAAATGTATGTATAATATAATAAAATACTAAATAGTAATAATAATGAAAAATAAATGAAAAATAAATATACATATAATATTAACTAAAAAAATAGTAATCATAAAAATATAAAATAAAATAAAGTAAGAATATATATATATATATAACATTAGGAAAATATAGTAAAAAACATAGTAAATAAGTAAACATAGATAAAAAATAATAATATATATATATATATAATAATAATAATAGAAAAATAATATAATATAACGCAAAGAAAAATGAAAAAAAATTATAATAAATAAATAAATAAATAAAATATAATTAAATATATACATATATACATATAAATAATAAGGGTTAAATTAAAATAAAAAATGAATTAGGGGTCAAAATTAAAAGCCAATCGAAAAAAAATGACAAAACACGCGGATCCATACGACCCGTTTATAAAAATCCGAATAGTTTTTCAAAAACACAAGCCTCGGGGACTAGATCTACAAAAATAGATCTCGAAAATGCCCCCGTTCATCGGCCAAAAACACTTCTCTCAGTTTTCTTTCGAAATCAAAACACAGCAAGGGTAAAGAAAAATAACATGCGAAGGTATGAACTTTACCTTTCAAAATATAAATGCTTCGAAAAATGGCTACGAGTTGCTTGTAATTTTTTGCTTGGTATTTCATATATCCTCCTCCGAATGTGTTACAATAGTGAGTTACAATGACTATTTATAATGCTTGTAGATCCTATCTTTAGGAGTTTAAATAATAGTAGAACTCTATCCTATTTTTAGGAGTTTGAATCCTAACAGGACGAAAAGGTGTGTTGACAGCTGCCCCTCTTTGCCTATAGTCATGTAACGGGATAGGGAAAAGATTAAAAGACACATTTTTCGTTCAGTGGAGTTGAAAATTGACTCTGATGTTTCAATAACTCCCTGTCGAATTGAGTTACGGATGACTCCTCCATCGTGAAGTCGAGTTCATCTTGAAATGATATGAAATTGAAGCCGTAGCTCGGAATTTGAATCAACACGTGGCTTCCCGCTGCCTTTCGATCTTCTTCTCGGTTTAAAGACCTTGGATCAGAATCGAACTCAAAAAACTTCATTGACAGATAGCTTTTTCTTGACTTAAGCTATGCTGCTTGAAAATGGTTGCTTATCACTCAGGCACGGCTAACCCAGGTCCTCTTCTCGACTTGAAAACCTCGACTGCAACCGGAAAGTAGTGCGATTGATGTGTCATTGAGCTAAATAAAATCGAACTCGACAATTTTGATGGCAGATAACCCTTCTAGCCTTGAGTTATGATGTAAATGATGTGCCTTGGAGCTGAGCGTAGTCGAACTCGAAGGTCTTTGTTGACAGATAATCCTTCTTTGAGTTGGATATCCCTCGTCGTGAAGTTGAAATCCAATCTAAAGATGGATGATGCTTGTGTACACGATTCCCTTCGTCGTGAAGTTGAAACCGCGGGTGGCCCCTTCGTCGTGAAGTTGAGCCTGGAATTGGATATCCTTCGTCGTGAAGTTAAAATCCAAGTAAGTAGCATTGTTCCGAGTCCAATATCCTCCATCGTGAAGTTGAAATTGGCTCTGGAATCGGGAAATTGTTTGTTGACAACCAGTCGTCCCTTCGTTGTGAAGTTGAACTTGTGTTGTCTCGAGTCCAATATCCTTTGTTGTGAAGTTGAAATTGGCTCCAAAGTTGGGAAATTGTTTGTTGACAAACAGCGGTCCCTTCGTCGTGAAGTTGAACTTGTGTTGTCTCGAGTCCAATATCCTTCGCTGTAAAGTTGAAATTGGCTCTGAAATTGGGAAGTTGTTTGTTGACAACCAGCGGTCCCTTCGTCGTGAAGTTGAACTTGCATTGTCTGGAGTCCAATATCCTT